TCTGGTGTTACCCTTAATAGTGTTTAATCTCAACACTAGGAAATATACGAGCCAAACATGATTGAGTTTACTGATTCTGCAGATGCTACTTATATTAATTCCTTGGCATAACACAGTTTTCATAGTGGGTCAACCCTTACTAGTAAGCTTTCACTTTCTGAATTCTGCTGCTCAGTAGGGATCTGGGAAGTTGCAAACACTGATCATGTGAAAATTCCGGCATTTGTAGATTTTGTGTGTGTGTATGCTTTTAACATTTTTCAATTAAGTTTATTATTTTTTTTGAATAGATAATACGCTTACATGGTTCAAAAATACAAAGGATGGATGATTTGATTACTGTTTCACTACCCCGTGTCTTTTCCTGTGTGTGTGTGTTGCTGTTGTTCGAAAAGTACACAGCAGAACACACCCCAATTCAATGATTTCTATATGGACAGCTCAGTGACATTGATCACATTCTTCAAGTTGTGCAAACATTTTCACTCCCCTTTTCTAAATTGTTCCTCCCTCCTCCCAAAAAACTCAACTGCTATTGAGTTGATTTCAACTCATAGTGACCCTACCGGACAGAGTAGAACTGCCCCCATAGGGTTTCCAAGGCTGCAAATCTTTACAGAAGCAGACTGTCTCATCTTTCCCCCTTGGAGCAGCTGGTGGATTCGAACCACCAACTTTTTGGTTAGCAGCCAAATGCCTTAACCCTTGCACCAACAGATCTCCTTGCCCCTCCCCCAGTAACATAAATCCACTGTCCCCCAAGTTTCCTATCTAATCTTTCAAGTTGCTATTGTCAATTTGATCCCATATACATAGTTCTTACAAGAGCATAATGCTCAAGGCAGGCCTTCTTTACTAGTTAAGCTAGCTAAATTATTGTTTGGTTTTAAGACGATATTTTTGGTTTAAAGATTATCTGAGGGCAGTACATTTCAGGGGTTCATCAAGCCTTCGTGGCTCCAGAATGTCTGGAGTCCATGAGAATTTGAAATTCTGGTATGCATTTTTCCCCTTTTTGACATTTGTAGTTTAATATAGAAAACATTATAAAGCTAGAACACTATTTTAAATTAAGAGGTCTGTGCCTTTCTGTTCTTCCCTCCCCTTTCTTTATATGAATAATAGTCTGCGTGTATGTGCATGCATTTGTGTGTATGCATTTGTGTGCATATAACATTCATGTCACTTCTGTTTTGTTTCCACACCCCAGTGAGGTGCAAGGTCAGCCTTGTCTGTGCATCTCTTGTTGTCAAATTGAGTCCAGGCTGCTGAAATTGTTTTGAAAAATTGGAGCCTTCTCCAATACAAATGAGCTTTATTGGTGTAGTAGTTAAGGCATTGGTTGCTAACCAAAAGGTCAGTGGTTCAAACCTGCTAGCTGCTCCGTGGAAGAAAGATGGGGCAGTCTGCTTCTGTAAAGATTTATAGCCTTGGAAACCCAATGGGGGTTGTTATGAGTTGGAACTGACTCAATGGCAGTGAGTTTGGTTTTGGTTTGGTTCCACAATACATACCCGAAAAGCTGCAACTACTCTCTAACTCAGAGCTGACCACTGAATGTCAACTCTGGGGGATCCGTAAAGACAGATCCCTCTCCTTTCACATTATCGATGGACGGACCAATGGTGACTAAGGAAGGACTACTGCATTCTCAAGTTGTGTGTGTTGGTCTGGCTCACAAGGAATGGGGGAAAGTAGTCAAAGAGAAGGATACCCAGCCGTGGAAATCCCAGTAGTCATCCAGCTCAATGATCTAAGGGGGAGGCCATTTCATCCTTTCTTAGAGAGGTGATGGCTAGTAATAAGCTTACTTACTTCCTCATACTTAGACCAGCACTAAACCCTACTCCAGCCCAGACACTTGAAAGAGAAGAGGCTTCTTCTTGTACAGACTGGATTTCTCCTAAAAAAGAAAAAGAGCAAAGGCAGCTTCCAGCAGAACATGTCTTATAGGAAATAAGAGCAGAGGCCAAGACTGAGGCAGATGCTGGGTCTGAGCAGGGAATGCACCCAAGAGTATGCACCACAACTAAAGGTAAATGCTGTGTATACATTACTCTGCTAAAAGATGCACAACTGGGCATGGTTTGTTGGGATGCTTCTGATCTGATTACTGATCATGCCACTAAGTTTCTCTAGGGTTTATTTGGTCTTCTCTAATTTGTGTTTCTGATTGTGAAGAGGTACTTAATTGCAATTTGCCATGGAAATGTGATATTACTACAGAGTTGGCAATTCCTGAGAACAGACTGTTAATGATTTGGTTTGCACTTAACCAGTTGCCTTCAAATGGATTCTGCCTCATGACGACCCTATGTGTGTCAGAACAGAACTGTGCTCCAGAGCGTTGACAACACTTCTTTTTCAGAAGTAGATTGCTAGGCCTTTCTTCCCAGGTGCCTCCGGGTGGACTCCAACCTGCAACCTTTCGGTTAGTTGCCAAGCATGTTAATGGTCTGCACCACCCAAGGACTCCCTGGTGACCACTACTTCTGGATAAATGAACAATTTTAATGTCACAAGGGATTTGAGCTGAATCTGAATGCTAGAAAGGGCTCTCATTGGCTGAAAACTCTATTAGTTTGTCATTCAGGTGAGAGACCATTCAAACTAGGGAGTCAGAGAAGAGGTATTTGGCAGGATGTGAGGAAAAGTTTCCTCCTTTGCCCGATTTTTCTCGAAAGACCATTTGCACAACACTGAATTAATCCACCACAAAAAGATAGAAGAGGCAAGGTGGCAATGTGATTTTTCTGAACAACCTTGGTGTTCCCTTAATTTGTTTTGTCTCTCTACCTTCTCTGGTAGCGTAGTGCCTAAGGCATTTAACTGCTAACCAGAAGGTTGGCGGTTCAAACCCACCAGCAACTCCTTGGAAGGAAGGTTGGGCAATCTACTTCTGTAGTGATACTGCCTTGGAAACCCAAGGAGGGGTCGCTATGAGTCGGGTCCGACTCGACGGCACATAACAACAACAACAACAACAACAACAACAACAACCTTCTACACCATAAAACCAAAAAAACAAACTCACTGCCTCAAGTCAATTCCAACTCATAGCGACCCCCATTGGGTTTCCATGGCTGTAAATCTTTCCGGAAGCAGACTGCCTCATCTTTCTTACATGGAGCAACGGGTGGGTATGAACCACCAACCTTTTGGTTAGTAGCCAAATGCCTTAACCACTATACCACCAGAGCTCCTTTGTGTATCACAGAAAAGAGCCAAATAATGATGGGGATAACCTCAGGCTTTGAAAATAACCACTCCTTTGCTTACCTAGTGTGAGTAATAATCTGTGCTGGACACGTAAGGGGAAAAAAAACTTGTTGACTTTATTTATTTTGTTTCCATGGAGCCACCAGCATAAGGAGTTTGGTTTCAGAAAAGAAATCCAACCTCTACAGAAAAATAAGCCCACTGCTAACAAAATTTGTTGGGGAGGTGGGCTGGTAATTTTCACTGCTCCATTTTTTGTGGCAGATTTTATCTTTTTCATTGCATCTTTCTAATGAAAATTTGGGGATTAGTAATATAAGATCGAGCATGAAGTTTAAGCAAATAACTGATATGAAGTGTTATTTTGTGTGAATAAAAAACCAGCACTGTTGTGGGATCTTGGATTGGATCCTGGAACAGAAAATGGAAAATAGTGGGGAAACTGTCACCAGCTTAGAGTCTGTAGTTTAGTCACCAGTTATCATACGAATGTTAACTTTCTGGTTTTGATCACTTTACTATGGTATGTAAGTTGTTAACATTAGAGGAAACTGGATCAAGAGTATATGGGACATCTGTACTATTTTTGCACCTTTTCTGTAAATTTAAAATTATTTCAAAATTATAATTAAAAAAAAGCAAGAGGGAAAAAACAATGGTGATTTTTCTGTGACTTTCCTTGCCTTTCAGTATTTCAATGATCTAAACTGACTGAACCTTTCTGGAGTATTTTATGTTTGAAGAGGCTAAACAAGTTTCTTACTCTTCATAAATGATCAAAGCTGACATCCATAACATTAAGACAGTTACACCACCTTTGCATGATGCTGTCTAAACAAACTAGTCTAAGCAAAAAGAATTTTTTTAAAAAAAAGCCAAAAAATGAAAACAAAAACAACTCTGCTGACTCCCCATACACATTTTTTTTTTTTTGCAACTTTAGAACAAAGTTTCCATCCTTTGTAGCTCAGTGGGTGATGGGCATAAACGGTTAGGCGGCAGTTAGTATACGTCTATTACTGCAGGTGTAGCCTCTATATCCTTATGAGACCCCTCAGTTACAGACCTCAGTGGGACACTGTAAAATTAAATTCACTGTCTAGGAAACTGGGAACTGAAAGTCCAATATCTGCCTCAGTGGAGTTCTGACACCTGCATTATCCCTTCTGGGGACATCAGGGTCGACAGCTGCACAGAGGCTTTTGCTGTTCACAGATCCTGCTTATAAGTACTGTCAAAGGCTGGTTAATGTAGAGATGGAGTCACTGGGTGGTACGAATGGTTACCAAGCTCAGCTGCTATCCAGACGGTTGGAAGTTAAAGTCCACCCAGAGACGGCTGAGAACAAAGGCCTGGTGATTTTCTCTGAAAGGTCACAGCCATTGAAAGCCCTATGGAGTACAGCCCTACTCTAACACGCGTAAGGTCGTCATGCATCAGAGTCAACTCAATAGCCACTGGTAATGTACAACTATCTATAGACATTACCAAGCACACAGATGCATATCATTTGGCATCTAAAGCATTGCATTGCCAGATAGGAGATCCCAGTTTACATGAACTCACAATGTAGGACCAATACCTGATAACAGACAAGAGATGGGGCTGTGGAAGGAGGATGTCAAAGTAGGCAGAAGGCTCCTTGTTAGCGCTGCATGTTTCTGTTCCATTTGAAACCAGGTGGCTAGGCTGAGGTGGAACCAGGAGGGATGAGGATTAATGTGCTGGGTCCTCAGGATCTCTCATTATCAACAGCACACAAGTGAGCACCAGAAGAAGCAGCTATGGCTACAGTGATCCTGGAGAGCATCTTTTTGAAGCGATCCCAGCAGAAAAAGAAAACATCACCTTTAAACTTCAAGAAGCGCCTCTTTCTCTTGACTGTGCAGAAACTTTCCTACTATGAGTATGATTTTGAACGTGGGGTAAGTTTCTCTACTGTGAAACCCTGGTTTCACGGACTCATCTTAGATCTTCCTTGGGGAAGAGGTAGTAAGAGGGAGGGGAAATGAACCTAAGTACATTCAAAGTCAGCAAAACATTTCCTAACCTAGAACTAATTACAGCCATACCGGGAGAAACATTCAAAGTTGCCAAGAAGTCACGGGGAAACCTCAACATAGAATCTTGCAATTGGTGAGCACTCATTAAATGATTGGTGAGGATGAAATCTAAGAGTTAGAAATTGCTTCCTTATTTCTTATGATAAAGACACACACAATCATCCATGCTTCTATAGTGTTTGCCTTCCATCCGGTAGTCAAAAAAAAAAAAAAAAAAAAAGATGACTAGATCTGAAATGTTTTTTTTTTTTCTCTTCAAAATGACAAGTCTTGATACAGAGTGTGGGTGTCATCTACTATGTTGAATGATTAGATAATGAAATCTAACCATCTGGTTGCTTAGTCATTCTTAATCTCTCTCCATTTTCTTCCTCATTCTTTCTCAGAGAAGAGGCAGTAAGAAGGGTTCAATAGATGTTGAGAAGATCACCTGCGTTGAAACAGTGGTTCCTGAAAAAAATCCTCCCCCTGAAAGACAGATTCCGGTAAGAAGAGATCATTGAGAAAGAGGGAGGAAAGAGAGGGAGAGATTGACTTTAAGAAATTTGGAACATTTAAATTCTCTGTAAATAAGTTGATGACGCTGTTCAATTTGGAACACAGTAAACCACCCTTAGAATGGTCTTCACTCTACCATGTATTGGTCATACTGAGTCTCAACATCTTTCCCACAGATGTAGAACATTGCACTTAACCTGGAAAACCTTGTAACACCATATTTAAAATGATGTCATATCAAGTTTTCCAACTGGCCAGAGATAATTGGTTTTACTCCCTTAGTTATCAGGATCAAATTTAGAGGCTTGAGTTCATATGAATGCCAGAATCCTAGGGATCTGAGTAATAGAAGATTTTTTTTTTTAATATCTCATTGTTTATTCTCCTCTTTTTTCCCAGAGCTTCTCCAAGGCACAATACTTTCTGAGTTCTGAGCTGATTTTTTTTTTTTAATATCATATATTGTTTTTTCCTGATTACAAGAGTGTTGTAGTTGGGTGTTATCAAGTTGATTCCAACTCAGAATGACTCCATGTGACAAAGTAAACCTGCTCCATGGGGTTTTCTGAGGATCTCTGGTAGCACAGTGCCTAAGGCACTTGACTGCTAACTAGAAGACTGGTGGTTCAAACCCACCAGCCACTCCTCGGAAGGAAGGTTGGGCAATCTACTTCCATAGTGATACCTCCTCAGAAACCCAAGGAGGGGTCTCTAGGAGTTGGGTCTGACTCCATGGCACATAACAATAACAACAACAACAACAACAACATGGGGTTTTCTAGGCTGTAATCTTGGCAGGAGCAGATTGCCAGGTCTGTCTCCTTTGGAGTGGCAGGGTGGGTTTCAATGGCCAACCTTTCAGTTAGCAACTGAGCACTTAACGATTATGCCAGCAGGGCTCTTTGATTACAAGAGTAATACATACGTCTGGAAAATATTTTAAAAGCACAAAAAAGAAAATAAAAATCATCCGTAATCCTGTCACCCAGCTAAAACAACTATTAACATGATGTCTAGACTTACCGATGTTTTTCTTTACTAAAAACCACACACCAAACTCAATTCACACATGTAGTCATACTAATATATAGGCTATATATTTAAAACATAGAATCATGCATGCTACATATCTTGCTTTATAAAACTAGGTTATAAAAAATCAGTTTAACAATATATAGTAAACTTTTTCCCATGACAATACTTTTAAATAACATGATTTGAAAGATTGCATACTATTCCTTATTATAGATACATCATAATTTCTTTACTTAATCTCCTATTACTATACATTTTTGTGGTTTCCAATTACTTGGTATTATAAACCAAGTAGAGAGGAACATCTTTATATACATCTTTGTGTAGTTTCCTTATTTCTTTCCTTATAATAAATTCCTCGATAAAAATTTGTTCCTCTCATTATGAAATCTGTGCACTTTTTTTTTTTTTAACATTTTATTATGGTTTGGGTGAAAGTTTACAGAGGAAATTAGTTTCCCATTCAATGATTTATACATGTTTTATCTCATAACATTAGTTACAATCCCCTCCATGTAACAGCACCCGTCCCATTTCCTCCCTGGATTCCCATTTCTATTCACCCATCTTTCCTGCCCCTTTCCTGCCTTCTGAACTTTGTTTTGGGGAAAATGCTGCCCTTTTGGTCTAATATGGTTGGTTGCTCAGAGAAGCACTTTCCTCAGGGATGTTATTGTTCACTTTATAGACCTGTCTATTGTTTGGGTGAAAGGTGATCTCCAGGAGTGGGTTCAGTTCCAGGTTTGAAGGGCCATAGTCTTGGGCATGCCACTAGTCTCTCTCAGACCAGTAACTCTGGTCTTTTTTTTTATGATTTTGAATGTCGTTCTACATCTTCTTTCACTCTGTCCAGGACCTTCTATTGTGATCCTGATCAGAGTGGTCACTAGTGGTAACTGGGCACTATCTAGTTCTTATGGTCTCAGGCTAGTAGAGGCTGTGGTTCTTGTGGTTCATTAGTCCTTTGGACTACACCTCAATTTTTTTTAATCTTTTAATTCTATTTTATTTTCTAGAAGTAGAATTTTAATTTTGTATATTCCTACTAGCTATGTATGAACATATCTATTTCTCTATATTCTCTCTAACACTTGATATCATTGTTCTTAAATATTAGTCAGTTTGACAGTCAAGAAAAATGGTATTTTTATTGCTGACTGGTGGCATAGTGCCTAAGGCATTTGCTAACCAGAAGGTTGGCGGTTCAAAGCCACTAGCCACTCCATGGAAGGAAGACTGGGCAATCTACTTCTGTAAAGATTCACCACCTCAGAAACCCAAAGGAGGTTGCTTTAAGTCAGAATCGATTAGAAGGCAGTCAGTTTGATTTTTTTGTTTTATTATTAGTAAGGTTGAAGCTCTGGTAGCATAGTGCCTAAATCACTTCACTGCTAACCAGGCCAGCGGTTCAAACCCATAAGCCACTCCTCAGAAGGAAGGTAAGGCAATCTACTTCCGTAGTGATATCACCTTGAAAACCCAAGGAGGGGTCACTATGAGTCGGATCCAGCTCAACAGCACATAACAACAACAAGAACAAGGTTGAAAAGTTGTGTATCTACTGCTCATTTATGTTTTTTCATTTGTGAGTTGCCTTCTAATTTTTGCTCATTTTTCTATTGAGATGTTCACCTTATTCCTAGTTATTTTTTTAAGAGATTCTGATATATTAAGAATTCAATCCTTTAAACTGTAATGCATGTTGGAAAATATTTTTCCAGGTTTTCACTAATCTTTGAATTTTGTTTATAATTTTTTTCCATACTGGGTTTCAAAGTCTATGTCATTAAATTAGTTCATCTTTTTCTTAATAGTTTTAATCTTTAGCATTATATCAAGGTTATATAGTCATCTTTATTTTTCTCTCAGTCATTCATAGTTTCATTTTTTACATTAAGTTCTTGAATCCATCTGGAATTTACTTTGGTATATGGTATGAAATAGCAACTAATCCTTCCCATCCGCCCTGACAAATTTAGTGGTTAGCTGTTTGTTTGAGAGAGCCTTCTGGTGCCACTGCAAATGACTCCCAGTATCAAAGAAAATCCAAAATATAGCAATTCATCCATCAATAACCATGTGTTCTTTTTCTTTTATCACAGAGAAGGGGTGAAGAGTCCAGTGAAATGGAACAGATTTCAATCATTGAAAGGTTCCCTTACCCTTTCCAGGTGAGTCATTGCCTCTCAGCAACTCTCCAAGGGAGACTACAATGCAATTGTTAGGGACAGAGTATGGGACTGAAGGAAGGATACTAGGTCCCAGTAGACAGAATTGAGGTGGATAAGGAAGTTAGACTGAGGAATGAGACTGGCATGGACTGAAAATATACACTTTTCTATTTTCCCAATCTAATAAATACAGTGTCTTTTAGTCTCTATGGAGCCCTGGGGGCATAGTGCCTAAGGCATTTGACTGCTAACCAGAAGGCTGGCAGTTCAAACCCACCAGCCACTCCTCAAAATGAAGATGGGGCAATCTGCTTCTGTAGAGATACTGCCTTGGAAACCCAAGGAGGGGTCACTATGAGTTGAATGGACTCAACGGCAGTGAGAGTGTTTTAGTCTCTACACCTCAAAGAGAATCCTTAACGGCTTTAATTCTATTATGGTATGTCTTGTCCATGATAACTGAATTGAGAAAGATGCTCTGTTTGTTGAGTGAGCATGTCACTTCCTTCTGGTTCTGCCTATCTGTCTAATGGTGGTTATGTGGGTTGAAAAGGCAGAACAGGGGAGGGAAGGAGTGGTATTAGGAAGTTCAGTATGGGGAAGGTTTATTAGACTTACACATAAACCTAAATTCTATTCTAATTGGATTAGTTGAAAAGCCACATGGGCATCTGTTTGGTAGGTACAGTGTAAGCTATAAAGGAGAACAAGGGCTTCAAATTCGATCTCCAAGGGGACTCATTTATGTCCTGAGAACTCTTTGGGCCACATGTCATGAACATAGCAGCCTCTGCAACAGTGAAAGCCAGAAAAGGAAGTGGAAAGTCTCAGGGGAGGGGGCTTTTTGTCATGGATTTATGAGCACAGCAAGACTAACAAGCAAAAAGAAAAATATAAAAGGACCTTGTTCATGTCCCTGACTGTATGAAAGTTTGCAAAGTCTGTGATGGAGAAGTGTTTTAGACACAATTTTCACTGCCATTGTCTTTCAACAAGATGATGGTGCTTGGTTGGGCTGGTGGATAATGCTAAACAGCAGATAATCCAAAAGTAATTTATATTTAACTTTAGAATCCTTTATGTGGTAGCTAAGAACTCTGTGAGGTTTGCAACCGTTTCTTATATATTTCATGCATTTCCATAACACCTAGCACAATGCCTTGTACATGATAGGTGTTCAGAAAATACTATTTGATTGATTTGATGATACTGTTTAATATACACTTGATTCTTTTTGAAGTAGATGTGTGATTCCCAGTTTGGTTGTTTTGGTTAATACTGGTAAAGGAACATCACTAGGCAATAGGGGAAAATTAGCTGTGACTTAAAATTGTGCTGTATATTATTTAAGTGAATAATTCACATGTAATGACTTAGGTTGTGTACATCATTACTTCAGTTATCTTCTATAGCAACTCAAGGTTTAATAATGTCATAAAATGTCCTTTGTAGGAGAAACAAAAATCTTGTTTCCACCAAGAGCTGAGAGCAGCATTATGAACTAAGTTTATACACAAATTGGAATACATGTTAAGAGCTTCCTAAGAAGACCTAGGAGTATGTATTCAAAAAGCTAAAAGGTTCTAAGTTCTAGATCCTAGATATGTATTGTTCAGGAATTCTTCAGGCAGTTCACATGACCCCAACCCTGCTGCTGACTGAAGACCCTTTCTTTCTTTGTTTTCCACAATGAACGTACAAAGTTATAGTTCCGTAGTTCCTTCAAAGTCTTTCTTCTGTTTCCTGAACCCTAACCACTAAAATTTATGTGTCCATTGCCCCAGGTTGTATATGATGAAGGGCCTCTCTATGTCTTCTCCCCAACTGAGGACCTGAGGAAGCGTTGGATTCACCAGCTAAAAAATGGTGAGAATTACTTGGAAAATAAACTGGCTTCCAAAAAATGAAGGAAGGAAAAAAGATGAAGGGAGGTAAGGGTGGAGAGGAGAAAGGAAATGGAGAGAGAGGAAGGGAGGAAGGATAGAAGAAGGGAAGGGAGAGAAAGAAGAAAGAGAGGGGAAGAAAAAAGAGAGAGAAAGAAGAGAAAGGAAGAGAGGAGAAAGAAAGATTGCATTTTGCCCTGATACTAGTAATAAAATTGGGCTTAGTATTTCATCATATAAAGATCAGGCACTAGACTAAGGGTTGCAATCCAATTTACCACTCTCTCACTAATGAATTTTGTAATTGTAGACACGGCCATTTCCTCATATATAAAAAGGCTCCCATTCTTCACATCAATTATAAAGGTGTTGTGGAGTTTGATGGTTAAGCAATAGTTGGAATCTTAAGTATGAAATATCTTGTTCCAAAAAATTAAATAGATGACACGTAAGAGTGCTTGAAGTCAGAGTCAGAGAACCTGGTTTCAAGCCCTCTTCTACCATTTACAAGCTGGATGACCTCTGGCAAGTAAGTCCACAAGCTTTCATGCGGTTGTTTCTTCCTCTGAAACAGAGGAATAATAATGTTGGTGGCACAACGGTTAAGCGCGTGGCTTCTAACTGAAAGGTCAGTGGTTTGAACCTACCAGCTGCTCCATGGGAGAAAAGACCTAGTGATCTACTCCTGTAAAGATTGTTGTTGTTGTTAGGTGCTGTCTAGTGGGCTCCAACTCATAGCCACCCTGTGTACAACAAAACAAAACACTGTCCAGTCCTGCGCCAGCCCCACAATCCTTTTTTCCAGTAATATATCAGTGTTTCACTGTTATTCATAAGGTTTTCGCTGACCAGTTCTTTGAGAAGTGGATGGCCCCTTCCTTCTTTTGAGTCTGTCTTAGTCTGGAAGCTCTGCTGAAACCTGTCCCCCATGGGTGACCCTGCTGGTATTTGAAATACCAGTGGTATAGCCTCCAGCCTCACAGCAACATGCAAGCCACCACAGTACGACAAACTGACAGACAAGATTACAGCCTAAGAAACCCTGTGAGGCAACGCTACTCTATCCCTTAGGGTCACTATAAGTCAGAATCAACTCGACGGTACGCAACAATAACAAAAACTGCTCTATTCCAGGTTCGTTCTAAGGATCAAATCAAGTAATGTATGTGGAAAACTGTAAAGTACTGTACACAAAAGCACTTCACACCCCTTCATTGCGGATAAATATTTTCCAAGGAAATATTTTGTGTTCTTTGCTTTTTGGGGACTTAAACAGTTTCTGCATTTCCCATAGACCATACAGTGTGTGTTCAGATAAACATGACTGTAAATGCTTGCAACACAGGATGCATGCACACATATTTGTGTGTATATATAGCCACATGTCAAGTGACTGAGAGATTAACTGGTTGAGTTGACATCAGGAAAGGCTGCCTAGAGAAACAGGAAGGATGGCAGACTGATAACAGCATGGTTGGGTTATTGCATGACAGCCCTTTGTCTTAATAAACATTTAGATTCTGATACTCGGTGGCTGGCTATACCAGCTTTGTTCACTCCCTCGAATACAGGTCTGACTGGTCCAAATAATAATCACCAAGTCTTTCTAACTGAAAGAGAGGAGAAAAGAAGGATTATTGAATTCAAACTGTGTGCCAAACGCTGGGCTCGATACCTTATATTAATTAATCATTTAATTCTCATAGCAACCTTGGGCTAAAAATAAGAATAATAACTAATGCTTAAGAGCACTTACTGTGTAACAGGTTCTGGTCTAAGTGCTTCAAATGTATCAGTTCATTTAATCTTCATGGTAACCTTATGAAATATGAATTATTACCCTGTTTACAGATGACAGACCTGGAGCTCAAAGAGGTTAAGTAACTTGCTCAAGGGCATACAGCTAGTGAGTGGTAGAATCCAATTCTTACCACATCTTTGGGTCGTCTGTGTGACTCCAAAGCCCAAGCACATTACATAGTTTTATGCTGCTTGGTTTTCAAGCCCAGAAATTCCATCTATAGTTGGTCGCAAAATATTTTTGGAAGTCAATTCTTTCTGAGTATTACAAACAGGTGATATATTGTACCACACAGTTCTTGGGATGTTTTGAGATAAGGGGCTTGAATTCAAAAAGAGCAAACATTTCGATAGTGCTTATTATGATCACGCTCTCTTCTAAGTTCTTATTTATTTATTTATACTGTGATTTGGGTAAAAGTTTACAGCCAATTTCATTTTCCTTGCAGCAGTTCATACACATTTTGTTTCATGACATCGATTGCAATCTCCATAATGTAACAGCTCTTTTCTCACTTCCTCCCTGTGGTTACCTTTTTCCTGCGTTCTTCTTTCCTATGCATTCCTGCCCTCTGGGCTATCTCCCTGTGCAAATACTGCCCTTCTGCTCTCCCATGGTTGATTGTTCTAAGAAGTGCACCTACCTGGTGTAAATGTTCACATTATATGCCTGTCTATTGTTTGGCAGGAAGTCATCGGAGTGAGTTCATTTCCAGACCTGAAGGGTAACTAGGGACAATAGTTTCAGGGGTTTCACCAGGCTCTATTGGACCAGTAAACCTGTTTTTTTTTTTTTTTAAAT